TGAATCGGGAAGTAACTTAACACTTTGACTTAAACGGAAACATGTTTTGGTTACAGCAGCTTTACTTCTTTTCTTTCCATTAACCAAAGTTATAGCATGGGTCTGTCACGTGGTTCGTTCTAAGGCGTACGGAAATGGGAACAAGTTTTTCTGAGACCCGACTCTTCACAAAAGATGTGTACAATCCACTAAAACTGTCTGAAATCCTCTCATAACTCGTAACATGTGGCCGACTGGTTGTTTTTTTGAGTTATATGTACTACTTAAATGACTATAAATTGAAATTTACTCCCTTTTTTATTAACTGTTACAACCTTCAATCATGTCTCTTTTATCAGGTGTTTGTCGAAGGCAACAGAAACTTCTACTAAAGGCAATTGAAGAAGCGAAAGACAAAGGTAGGTACCGCTCCTTTGGCTCCAAGAATTCTTTCTCAGTCACTCTCACAGGCTTTGTGGCTGGTTGTATCGAATAGCAAACACATCGATTAGCTCAATTATTCTCTGCTGATGTGAGAGAGATTATAGATCCAGTGTGGTAAGAAGGGAAGCACAGATCGTGCTTCTGCAAGAGCCAGCCCGCCCTCTCACATGAACACATAAAAAATTTCACCAAGGTTTTAGAGTTAAGGCGAGATCTCGGAAACCGGGCCAGCCCGGCCAACCGGGCTCATGTGAAGAGGCCCTTAGACTGCTGGCAGTACCCCAGGATGCTTGCGCGAGCGAAGGAAACAGTGGCGAGCCGAGGGGAAACTGGGGAAAAGGCGAGAAGCGAAGCCTGGTTCCCCTGTCGGTCCGTTCGCTATGCCTGGACTCAACTGGCTGAAAAAGAAATGCTCACAGTCATTGTCCATGTACATGTACGTGTAAAACTGCCATGTTTGTTTTGATCGTTACGTTAAATATCATTAATCTATTTTAATTCTCTCTTTCAGGTCTTCTACCTTTTACGGTTCCTGGTCCACGAGATCCACCACGGGGCTTCAAGCCTGCTGGAGTACCGTTTAGTGTTAGAAATAAAACGTGAAGAAAAAAGATTAGGGAAAAGAATAAGGAAAATATTCAGAAAAACCGTTGAATTGCAAACATGCAAAAAGGACAATAGCTTTATTGCTTTGACTATAATGAAAGCGAATAAATGTGTATTTTTCTTGAAAACATATCGCATTTCCTGGTTTTTTGTTTCTCTTAGCTTGCTTGCAGGATATTAAACCTAGACACAAAGGCAACCACCGTGACCCTGGTGTGTAGGTAAGGGGTGTTATACGTGGACAATAAAGAATGAAGTTTCTAAATGTCATGAATGTTGCGGAAGTTTATCTTGGTCTTTGGCTTTAAAGATTTGGGTTGATAAAAACTTTTGACGCTATTCATCTAAACGTCACACGGCGTAGCAAAATTAACTTTATCGTGGTGTCTCGTATCGTCAAATTTGCAATTTGACCCAGCGTCTTGAACTGTTCGGTTTCTTTAAGGTAGTTCTTGACTAATAAGGGCCTAGTTCACTCACCTTCTCGAGAAGGTTCGAAAAGAAAATGCGGCCTATTTAGCTTATTTATTCGATTAAGCGCCCAGCCTCGAATTAGCAACCACCTCGAATAATCGCCCATCCTGTAGGGAGGAAAAGTTGAGCGCCTAGCCTCGAATAAGCGCCTTGAATTACTGAAGTGGTCAAGAAGAGCATTGGTTACTTCTTTACCGCCCTATCTGCCTCTCGTCGACTGACCTATTTGACGACGTTACGCTGTGACACATCTAAGACGCAGGACCAGACTTCGCTTATTGACCTTTGACTGACAATGAGAGGCATTGACCGAAGAACCGAGTTTTTAGTCTTTTTCTAAAATAAACTATCAATGAACAGTTAAAATCCTGCTCTGGCACATCTTCACGTTTTGATATTATTTACTATTATTTATTTATACCGTATTTATTCGATTAACCGCCCTGAGCGCTTATTAAATTTTTGGACCTTGAGAGTGGGCGCTTATTCGAGGTGGGCGCTTATTAAATTTTCACTACTTTCAGCAAGTGAAGTATGTTTTTTTTGCAACAAAACAATAAATGCTAATAACAAAACGCGAAGAAGTAACAAAGCAAGGTTTCTGTAAAATACTCTGAAGAAACTCTGTCTTTGGGTAGAACTTATTCACTTAAGTGGGTGGGGTGGGGGTGAGTGCTTATTTGAGTTTGATTGGGGGGAGCGGGGGTGGGTGCTTATTCGAGGCTGGGCGCTTATTAACTTTTTCTGCCTTTAGGATAGGCGCTAGGCGCTAATTCGAGGTTGGGCGCTTATTCGAATAAATACGGTATACTGTTTTGTTGCTACTTGCTGAAAATCATGAAATTAAAAAGCGCCCCCTTTCAAGGCCCAAAAATTTATTAACCACCCTGGGCGCCTGATCGAATAAATAGGGTACCTCTGCCCCAAAATATCCTGTAGGGGGAAACAGTTCGTTGTATTTCCAACCAGGATAATCAGCTCACTCTTGATCAGGTTAATTCACTGAATTCAGTGCCGTTGGGAAGCGCGTTTGATCTCAAGGAAGAGCCATAAAATACTGAGCAAAGGTGTGCGAGTTATTTTTAATTTCGTGGACTTTGTGTCATTTTCCTCTTTTTAAGAGAAGCAAAAAGTTGTGTAGACTAAATCATTTCTTTAAAAAGGTGATTTTAATTATCTATTGGTTTGCCTGACAACGATTTAATATAATTTTTGTACATGAGGTCCTCTCTAAACTAGAATACATTCTTTGGAATTATTTCCATGTAAAAATGCTACTTCTGGATCGCGATTCTGGAAGAACAAATGTAACGATCTGGAACGCATGGACACGTTTAAACGAGTTCATAAGAACTCGAGTGCTTCGTGGGTAAACAAATTACAATTACAAAACTTTCTTTCTCCAGGATGTAACTGTTGCTGCCCAAACATTTATTTCCTAGTTTAGGCATGTACGAAGAAGCAACGTTTCCTAGTTTAGAAAGACTTTCGAGCTTACGATTATATAAAAATAAGCCTATATATTTAACGTGCAATACACGATATATCAGTGTCTACATACTCTTACGTCTAATACAAGCAGCATTGAAATTGTGGAAACTCTTTGCACACTCATACTCGTTTTTTGAAGCTTCAAACTGTCGTCAGTAAAAAATCGAATTCATTATAATAGAAGCTAGAGGGGCTTATAACCGCACGTAATTTTTTTGTTTAAGAGTAGATGGGCCTATCACCACTGGGGGCCAACAATAGCACTTGCTTCTCACTTAGGTCAAAATGTTGGCTTAGGGGAGGGGTAGGTGGGCATGCAGTTTCCCAAAAACCCAAATTGATCCGTGGGAGCTTACGGTACTGAGTGGTTTAACCTGAGGAAAGATTTTACCTACAACATATAGAGACGATGGAAGTGGATTTCAGATTAATATCAAAAATAGGTCAGTATATGTTCTTTAAAAGTTTCTTAGGAAAAGGACGTTATTTTCCCTATTTATTGTAGCCTTAAGCATCTAAAATCTTTCGCACAGATAAATTTACAGTTCTATCACCTCTTGAGATCAACTATTCTGATATCCACCGATAGTGATAGAGAGCAAAGTTCTCACCACCTCATGGGTACAGAAGTATATTTGTATAGTAGTGAGATTATTGCATTTGACATTATACATGATTGTACCAGTGGCGTAGCGACGCGTACGCCAGTCGGCACAAGCGTACAAACTGTCCAAGGGCAGCGGTCTCTCCCTTTTTTTGTAGAAAATCTTTTTACGATTGTATAACGACCGATGACGACCTTCTGAATATAATCTAAATCTGTTTCGCTAAAATTCGTGCTAGTTAACTATTTTTTTCTAGCGTTCAAAAAAAAAACGCTACAAGCATCACGTTTACGCCAAACGGCAAACGTCAGATTCAAGTTGAGAATTTCTCAGAATAGAAAATAAGCAGATAAAAACAGTCCAGAACAATTCTTATGTATAAAACTGGCGTGAAACTACTTATTTTTCAGTTGAAGTAACAAACAGTTAACGGCAAATATGGGAAAAACTTGGTCACGTGGTACAAATTCACGTTTGCCATTTGGCGTAAACGTGAATCTTAATCTCTCTAATCTCATAAGTCTGCCAACGCCGGGTATGTACATTTCGTTCAACCCCAGTCCATGGGCTACCACGATGGACTACCCAAATGGACTACCCATACGGCTCTGTATAAAATAAGACTAGAAATACGTTATCGCACCAAAATCTTGCGACGCTGTAAAAGGTCAGCAGTGAGAATAAGGGGAAACAAGCCAAAGGGGAAAATATGATAAAAAATACTAAACAGAACAAAAAATGTACAAAGACCATGAATACTTCCTGCCCGAGAAGTAAGCTTCCAGACCACTGGACAACGCTGCCAGGTAACCGGTCAAGTCGCCCGAAGTCCTGTCGCCCAGAACCAGAGTCATGTTGCCCGAAATTCATTGTCATGTCGCCCAAAATCCTTAGTCATGTCGACCGACATGGCTCTCGTTTCGGGCGACTTGACCGTTATTCCGCTGCCATACATTGGATGAGTCAACTGCGGAAACCCAAAAGAAGTATGGAAATATTGCCAACCCGAGTTTCTGCCTCGCCGTGCGATCCACGCAATACGCGCGCGACAAATTTTATAAATTTGCTACGACGAATTAAAAAAATCCTAAAAACCTAAGATTTCGATACAATTGAAACATTAAGCAATCACCAAGTTCTTGCTAAATGATGTTTTTATACTAAGGAAAATCACGTCACCATGCACTGGGTTACCGCTCATCTCCCCCCAAGTCATTTCGCCCTGGTTACTTAGCCCCCTATTCTAGAACGAGGAACATTATAATTATTTGAAGCTTGCTCGTTTTGGTTTATGGCTTAAAGAACGAGGAATATTACATTTGAAGCACGCTAAATGACCAGAAAATAGGAGACTAAGTAACCGGGGCGAAATGACTTGGGGGCGTACTGACCGGTTACCATTCACTGCGATGGTCTTTCATTGACCCAGCCCTCAAGGATTTCTACTACATCAATCCTTTGAAAACTATCCTCCTTCAACCACTCAATCAATTTTGCAACTGTTGCTTGTCCCTTCTGTGACCACACGTTCACAATTTCTTCAGTGGGGTTTTGATATCTTTGATCTATGTTTTCTGTCTCATACCTTTTTAATCCAACTTTCTCTGCAAGCATTCTGAAGTCATTAAAACCCATTTGTTTGACGTTCAACTTCACACAGACCTGGGAAAACACAGTTAGAGGTATTTCCTTGACTTTTGTGGACAGCCTCTTTAGTGCCTGGCTCTCATCCTGGTGGCTTGCCTTTTCATTTTTTTCAAGGTTTGAATCTTCAACTGCAAGATTAGAATATGACACAGTCATAAGCAACAAAGAGGTAAATAAGTACCGTATTTCCTTAACTCAAAGCGCCTGAACGTTTGACCAAAATAGGGGGAACAAAAGAGGGTGGTAATTCTCAGTACGTTTATCTTTTAACAAAATGAAACTCACTTTTGGTGAGTTATTATGGACAGAGAACTGATAGTAAATTGAGACAGAGAAAACTTTTGCCATAACTACCACGCCGCACCCTCTCAACAATAGCGTGAAGCGTATTCATTGGTATTGTTAGACATTTTTAAAGCTGAAATGAGCTGCTCTCCTAAATTGATGCTGGCTGTGAAACCAGTGAGACCGTGAACACCAGAAATATTTCTGGAATGTTATTGTGTTGCAAGTAAAAGACCAATAAGGCATGGCGAAACTAAACCACAAGTGGCATTAATTAGGGTGTGGCTTTGTGGCTAGCTTACTGTCCTTTGCTGGGATTGGCCATAACAGAAGAAACATTCCTAAAATATTTCAGGTGTTCTCAGTTTTGCTAGGTGAGTTTGACAGTAAATAAAGTAAGAAGTAAGTGAGGAAAAAGCTTTTCTTTGGGTATTCTTGTGCTGGAGTATGCAAGTAAAAGGGAAGGGGGCATATATTTGCTAGATTAGTCCCTTTAACTAAAAGAAGGTCATTGCTCAGTAAGAGTTGTTAAAAAACTAATTTGAGAAAAATTCAATGACGTAAAATAAGAACCTCTGTTTTGTGCCAATAAGCAGAAATGGTCCCTCAAACATGAGAGGGAGTTGTTAGAACTTAGATAAAATGATATACAACTTTTTCTGGCCAAATGTCAGCCCAGAGTTCCTTGTATGCAAGTTTCAACAACAACAACATAAACTTTATTTATACATGCATATGAAAAATCAAAGGAAGAGAGTACGCAAATACAAGGGAAGATTTCTATTGCACTTTTGCTTTTTCAATTTTTCCTTTTCCTGCTCTTCCTCTTAACTACCTTTAATTTGTAAACCTGTTCATGGAAATAGACTAGACAAAGAAAAAAATGAACAGACAGCAGAAAAACGATTGTTGGTATAATCTTATTATTTTGTAAGGTTTAAAGTGCATACCCTAATGATAACAACCTACAGAATTTTATTACCACTAGGAAAACAAATTTTATAGCTATGTGCTTCTCTGCTATACAGTTTGTAGTCCTGCCACCAAAATTAAAGCCTTGCTTTAGCATATAAAAAAATAATAAGTAACAAATCTACATCACATACCATCAACTTGCTGGACCATTCCAGAAAATTTCTCCACCAATTGATCGCACTGTTCCTTCCAACTGAATTGCATCATATATTCTTTTCTCAGCTCCTCAGCTTCCATCCAGCGCGTTTCTTTACCTTTTTCTTTGATCTCTCGTATTCTGTCAGCCCAAACCTGTGGATCTCTGGATTCCACCACGTGCTTTTTCCCAGAGGACATCTTCTTCAGAACAACACCAAGTCCACTGTATGTGCTGATCAGAACAGGAAGGTTGGCTGAAATAGCAAGAAGGCCACTCATTCCAAATCCTTCAGCTCTTGATGGTTTAATGATCAGATCTACCTCACACAGCCATTTCCACCAGTCTTGATGACTCTCAGAGATTCTTACGCTGACTTGGTGATGGTCAATGCCCTCGTCATGTAAGGCCTGCTTAATCTTTTCCTCATTCTCCCTCTCACAAGGCCTTAGGGCAACTATCAAGTGGTAGGATGATGCATTGAGGAACTTGATTGCTTGGGCAGCAATGTCCCCTCCCTTTGCTTCAAAATATATCCACGAGCCACTGAACAAAACATAAAATGTGCCTGTATCTTCATATACTTGACGAATATGAGGGTTTTCAATAATTCCAGGTGTTAACTCAAAGACATCTCCATGCTTTCCATAGCAGCGTAGGAAACGTTTGCATTCTTCAGCAACCTTTGGACCAATAGCAATGATAACATCAGCCTTTCCACACAACTCAGCCTGAAGTTTACGATCATTTTTATCTGCACTTTTTGAGAATTCATGAACATCCTCACAAGCTATATGGACAACTTGTGCCCACTTGCACTTCTTGTGTTTCTTTATAACTTGTGCTTGCCGTCCAAGAGCAGGCCCAACTGAATGTATCAACAGAATATCAATATCAAGACTATCAGGAGGATGTGCCAAAAGTTCAATTGCTGGGTAACCAAAGAAATCCTCGGCATCCACAAGTTTGATGTTTATACTCTCTGCATGATCTTTCTGTTCCTGTGTATTACGGGGGACAAATCCACTTACTTTAAGTCGTTTGTCCTTGGCCAATTCAACCACTAGCTGTTCATTAACAATTTTATTCCAACCATCACTGTCAGAGGCTAATGTCACATTTAGTGTCATCTCACTTTTTCTGTTGATTTTGAATCTGTAACAGTCACAAAATAATCATTTTAAGCAACTAAAAATACTTTGAGTTAATAATAATTTATTATTTATTATTAATAATTATTTATCATTATTAGTAACACACCTTCTTCTACAATGATAATGTGGAATTAACTGAAAAAGCAATAATACTATAGTCAAAGCTCTGGTAAGTGACCACAATTCAAAAAAGTGGTTGTAACTAGAGTTGGTCACTTACAAGAATGAGCTCTTGTAACCAACCGCATGGTAAAGAAAAAACAAAAGAAGTTAATGCTTAACGAGTGTCTTTATATCTGATATAGACATGACTAGTATTATGCAAAAAATATTATAATATTGATATTATGCAAGAATGAGTTGATCTACATCAGACGATTTTGAAGCCGTCAGAAACTCATAAGGGGTTGAAACGTGCAACTCTCACAATTATGTTTGCTTGGTCCACAGCTGATGAATATTCATTTTTGCTACTACCACATTTGGAACGAGAAGAAAAGATAACTAACCAATCAAACTTTGTAAACAACATGACGTAATTTTACTCCATGTTCTCGGGAGGGAACCTTTAGGGAGCTCTAGCAACAATGGTGGTGAAAGCAACAGAAACGTCACTGACAGGAGTTTTGCAAAGGTGCTTCTAACTAGAGCTGGTCGCTAACAAGAGTGGTGGCAAAGAGAGCATCGACTGTATTTTATTAGAAAGTTACACTGTAATAATTATCAGGATCAATGGTAAAAGCTGGAGGATAAATTGAAATTTTTTTCAATCATGACACAGACTTACACTGTACAAAAGTCTTGGTTATTACTTCTCATGAAAGCCAAATTTTTATTGATAAGTTCGACATATACTCTGACATTTGATATTCGTATAGGTAATAGCATGACTTGTAGTGATATTTGGCATAAATATCACGAGTGATATTTCGAAATTGTTATACGTAATTTCACGAGCCGTTAGGTGAGTGAAATTTGAGACAATTTTGAAATATCACTAGTGGTATTTATGCCAAATATTACGTACAAATCATGCTATTATTTGTTTATACTACTACCAGCAAAGGTTTTGTAATTTTCACATGTAGGTATTTCAAATTAAGCTGAAATACCACTGCTCTAAGCCAATCAAATTGCAGAAATTTCTCATGTAGTAGTATAAGTATAGGTAATAGCACGATTTGTAGTGATATTTGGCATAAATACAACTAGTGATATTTCAAAATTGTTATATGTAATTTCACATGCTGCTAGGCACATGACATTTGAGACAATAATTTTGAAATATCACTAGTGGTATTTATGCCAAATATCACATACAAATCATGCTATTATTAATTTTGTTTATACTACTACCTGCAAAAGGTTTGTAATTTTCATGTGTAGGTATTTCAAATTAAGCTGAAATACCACTGCTCTGAGCCAATCAGATTGCAGAAATTTCCCAGATAGTAGTATAAAAGGAGTAATAGCTAAAGGAAAAAATTGAGAAAATTGAGTTAATAAGGAATGTTTCTATTTTCTCGAAAAAGACAGAAAGGCTAGAATTTCAAAGGTACTTAAAGAGAGCTCTAGGCTTTCACAAAACTTTATGAATCAAGCTCTCTCTGTAATATGCTCTGAAGACAAAGGTAATCCAACAAAAACAGTACAGCCATTTCTCCTCGCCTGCTTTTTCTAAAGAAGAATATATTCCAGGAAGATTGAATCTTTTGTAGTTGATCCTCATGTTTATGACCCTGTTTACATTGACCTTTGTGGCATTTTGTCCTTTGTCATACAACTACTATGTCAACCAATCAGAGCTACTGACCAGATACCGGACAGGAGAAATAGGCTGTAATCGCAGGCTAAGAAAAACCTTCCAGAGAAAAAACAATTTTGCCCCTTTTTTTCTAAAAATATTGCCTACCCTTGCCTGCTTAAGGGGCGTATAGTAAATGACCTAGTAAAGGCCCACCTTCAAATAAACACCTCTTATCTAATAACTCTATGCAGTTAAAATTGTATTAGACAACCCTCTCTAATAAGCGCCCCCTGTCTAATAGACACCCCCAGTGAGAATTACTCCAAAATACTAGGAAAGCAAAAAGGAGCTATATCATTCAATTCATTCACTTTCTTACTTGATTAACAAAGCATTGTGTATTTCATTGTGTTCAATTTCAAGTTCAAAGTAAGGATAGACTAATGATGCAACACAATAGCAGCGAGGATTCTGACATCAATGTTGGGATTTGAAAGAGCAATGTGGATCTCTATTTTTTCTAGAAGATGTACGCATATCAATTCATGGAGTGGATATTCCACTATTTTTAAACTCTCTTAATAATTTTGCAGACAGCATATTAGATTTGCTGAGTTTGAAACAGTTATGAGAATAAACACCTCCTATCCATTAAATACCCCCACTTAAACCCCTAAAATTAAATAGATGCAGCCACAGGTGTTTATTAGGTCATATTTTACAGTATCTATGTCCTTAGTCTGAATTTTAAAACGTGTTATTTCGCACATTGTGGAGGAAGCCATGTCGCCATTGGTACTTTACTATTGTATTTATGTTTTTTTCTGTGCCGTTTGTTGCCATTTCTGCTGTCCTATGTCACCGTTTCAAGCCTATATCATTTGTCAGAATTTTACCCTAACATGGCCTCATAAAACATTCCCATGAAACTGCAAACACTGGCAACTGATAGAGAAACAACTTTTACCACAAGAAATCTATAAAGAACCTTCACTTACAGAATATCATATGAACAAGGTTGGTCACTAAGTAATTTATTTACTCTTAGAAGCAATACTTTGAGAAAAGCATTTGTGGAAAGCATGAGTCAGGCTTGCCAACAACAACATAGTACATAACAGTGTTGTAGTGCTGTTGACCCAGTCACTTAAATGGGCTTTGCTTACAGATTGAGTAAACACATACTTGCTATGCAGGCCAATGGGAGGTTTGCAGTCTAAAAATTGGAGAATTTGAGATACAAATGTACCAGTTGACAGCTTTCCAAGACTTTAGATATTTCAGTTGCACTTAGTTGGATATTTCCACTTGAACAAATGATTTTTCGCACAGGAAAATTTTTGAATAGTCACTGGTGCATGGGTGATTTGACGCTTTTTGAAACACTAACTGTTGGGGCATCAGCCTGTGTCACAGACATAACTAAACTCTTGTTAAGTCCCTCTCTGAAACAGCACCGAAATCCTTGTTCAGGGCCTCCAGCAGAGTACCAGGATTTGAGTAAGTGCTATGATTGGCCTATTAAAAAAGCCATTGTCAATTTGCCAATGAAGATAAAACAAAATTTAAAATGCACTTTTGGTAATTTGTTGAGTCCACTGGGGACCCAGACCATTGGCTCGATTCCCAGCAGCTGTTTGGGAAATGAGTCTCACTCCTCCCCTGAATAGACAGCTGGATGTACAAATGTATGAGTTTGCTATTGTCAATTACCACCAATCAGATCGTTGCCTGCTCAAATCCAGCAGGCAGCATAACTTTATGTTCCTGGAGCAGATTTCAAACGGTGGATGCAAAGGTGTTGTTTGATGTGGCGTGCAATCGTTTTAAAACTTTAAAAACTACGGGGGGTGAAAACTCTAACAAAGGCTGTTTGGGCAGTCCTATGAATAACTTTATGTCCTCCCGGAAATTTCGTCGACCCTCCCGAATTTATCGGTGGCATTCCCCATAAATGTTTAACTTCCCAAAATTGTTTTAACAATTAAAATTAAAATTTTGATTAGAGATTTTTTGATTAGAGATTTTTTGCAGCTTCTTATTAATTATGTAACTTGTTAATTATCTAACCTTAGTTATATTTTCGTTTAGAGGGTATCATGTTAACACAGAAAGACTGCAAACTTTTTAAGTATATAAAATCGTGCTTTTTTGTTTTTTAATCACCAATGAATCAGGCGAGCAGTGAAGGGGCCAACCACTAGGGGGGTCTGGGGACATGCTCTCCCAGAAAATTTTGAAATCTTGGTGCTCTGAATCGCCATTTCTAGTGTCCTGAGAGGACAAATTCTGTCCAAAATGTTCTCTAAATCAATTGTCCTTTTTATGCTTATTTTTATTGGCGTGACTTCGCGTAGAAGTAGTCAATTTTATTTTATACAAGTTGTGCGGTTTTGAAATTGCTTTGGATATCACTTTCAGCTAAGTACACTCTGTGTGGTGTCATTGTATGAGTATCATAAGAATTCATTTAAAAATTTCAGAACAACCGTCGAAATCTGAAAGTTTCCTATCCCGAACGCATATAGATCGAGATTCGGGATTTTCGAGCAAAATCGGAAGGACCCCGACGAAATCAGGATGATTAAAGAGTCTTCACAGTCATTTTTTTTTTTGGCTCTTGTCCCAGCATTCTAGACGAACCTCGCGACGAAACGCTTGCTACGCAGGCTATTCACAGACACACTACTTTTTATGGCCTCATTTGTTTCTAACGAGGTTAAATGAGTTTCGTTTTTTTCTTACATACTTCTAACGTACTTCTTTCAAGTTTTCCAGTATGCAATCAGTGGAATGTGCTCTTAAAACTTGTTAACGTGCAGCGTAAAAATACCCCTGAACTAATGAATGATGGGATCTGGTGTGAACTGATAGTATGTACCTTGCACCGGTACGGTTCTTGTGTCGATCTGCTGGGGATTGCACGTGGTCAATAATTGCACTCGAACTTCATGCTATTTTAGTTGGAAACGTTGCTGATTGTTCTTTTCATATCATGGGGAGTTCAGCCGTTTTCAAGTGTCAAAATACATAGAATACAGCGCATACACTGGGTGCATATCACTGTATAAAATTGTTTGATAACATGTAATATCAAATCTTTGCCCAATGTCCCGAAAGTATCTCATATTTCCCGAAAAATTTCCCAGGTTTCCCGATTCCCGGCAAAATCTCCAGATTCCTGGAATAAATTTGTTTTTCTCCCGAAACAGCCCTTGTTAGAGCTGTCACCCCCCGTAAAAACTGAAATATTTACAAAGAAAAGCGTTATCTTAGAGAAGTTGGCAAATGGTAAGTATGTTTTTGAAATTCAACCAACAGATTGTGGATCATTAATTATTTTCCAGTCTGTAGCGATGGTTGTTGAAAGCTTATGTGAAGGAGATGACTGTCAAGTCCATTTCTCTGGGGTAATTTCACTCCAAACTTCACTAAAGAAAGATCAATGTAAACATCTGAAATCAGTACATGTTTCTGCTGATTTTTATGGTGAATACCAAAGCAACCAAGAGGCAAAGCACAGCAAGTCTTTGGTATTTAACAACATTTCCCATTTCCGGTGTTTGGTAATGATGCATAAATTAAATGAAATTTTGAATTTACGTCACAGACATGATAGGCCACTCACGCGTCCAGCCGTCTCTTCTCTGGGAGGGCCAAGAGAGCGGCGGAAATCAAACCTACCCAGAACAAGGATATTGGTGCTGTTTCACAGACAAAAAAATTAAAATTACATCTGCAACTCAGGCTAGTGGGGTATTTGACTAATTAAACTGCTGACATACGGAGAAATTTCGCCGAAATTTTTCCAAAAAGTCAAATGCCCGGGGGTTTTTCCGGGGGGGCATGAGCGGTTTTGAATTGACTGATACATAAACAGTAGCTGAAGAATGCTTACTATATTATTATTATTATAGCCCTGTTTAGGCTTCGGTCACTGCAACAAGTCGTTAAAAGACTGGCCACGTTCTCTCAATGATTCTGTGCCGTTTGTTGCCATTTCTGCTGTCCTATGTCACCGTTTCAAGCCTATATCATTTGTCAGAATTTTACCCTAACATGGCCTCATAAAACATTCCCATGAAACTGCAAACACTGGCAACTGATAGAGAAACAACTTTTACCACAAGAAATCTATAAAGAACCTTCACTTACAGAATATCATATGAACAAGGTTGGTCACTAAGTAATTTATTTACTCTTAGAAGCAAAACTTTGAGAAAAGCATTTGTGGAAAGCATGAGTCAGGCTTGCCAACAACAACATAGTACATAACAGTGTTGTAGTGCTGTTGACCCAGCCACTTAAATGGGCTTTGCTTACACATTGAGTAAACACATACTTGCTATGCAGGCCAATGGGAGGTTTGCAGTTTAAAAATTGGAGAATTTGAGATACAAATGTACCAGTTGACAGCTTTCCAAGACTTTAGATATTTCAGTTGCACTTAGTTGGGTATTCCACTTGAACAAATGGTTTTTCGCACAGGAAAATTTTTGAATAGTCACTGGTGCATGGGTGATTTGACGCTTTTTGAAACACTAACTGTTGGGGCATCAGCCTGTGTCACAGACATAACTAAACTCTTGTTAAGTCCCTCCCTGAAACAGCACCGAAATCCTTGTTCAGGGCCCCCAGCAGAGTACCAGGATTTGAGTAAGTGCTATGATTGGCCTATTAAAAAAGCCATTGTCAATTTGCCAATGAAGATAAAACAAAATTTAAAATGCACTTTTGGTAATTTGTTGAGTCCACTGGGGACCCAGACCATTGGCTCGATTCCCAGCAGCTGTTTGGGAAATGAGTCTCACTCCTCCCCTGAATAGACAGCTGGATGTACAAATGTATGAGTTTGCTATTGTCAATTACCACCAATCAGATCGTTGCCTGCTCAAATCCAGCAGGCAGCATAACTTTATGTTCCTGGAGCAGATTTCAAACGGTGGATGCAAAGGTGTTGTTTGATGTGGCGTGCAATCGTTTTAAAACTTTAAAAACTACGGGGGGTGAAAACTCTAACAAAGGCTGTTTGGGCAGTCCTATGAATAACTTTATGTCCTCCCGGAAATTTCGTCGACCCTCCCGAATTTATCGGTGGCATTCCCCATAAATGTTTAACTTCCCAAAATTGTTTTAACAATTAAAATTAAAATTTTGATTAGAGATTTTTTGATTAGAGATTTTTTGCAGCTTCTTATTAATTATGTAACTTGTTAATTATCTAACCTTAGTTATATTTTCGTTTAGAGGGTATCATGTTAACACAGAAAGACTGCAAACTTTTTAAGTATATAAAATCGTGCTTTTTTGTTTTTTAATCACCAATGAATCAGGCGAGCAGTGAAGGGGCCAACCACTAGGGGGGTCTGGGGACATGCTCTCCCAGAAAATTTTGAAATCTTGGTGCTCTGAATCGCCATTTCTAGTGTCCTGAGAGGACAAATTCTGTCCAAAATGTTCTCTAAATCAATTGTCCTTTTTATGCTTATTTTTATTGGCGTGACTTCGCGTAGAAGTAGTCAATTTTATTTTATACAAGTTGTGCGGTTTTGAAATTGCTTTGGATATCACTTTCAGCTAAGTACACTCTGTGTGGTGTCATTGTATGAGTATCATAAGAATTCATTTAAAAATTTCAGAACAACCGTCGAAATCTGAAAGTTTCCTATCCCGAACGCATATAGATCGAGATTCGGGATTTTCGAGCAAAATCGGAAGGACCCCGACGAAATCAGGATGATTAAAGAGTCTTCACAGTCATTTTTTTTTTTTGCTCTTGTCCCAGCATTCTAGACGAACCTCGCGACGAAACGCTTGCTACGCAGGCTATTCACAGACATACTACTTTTTATGGCCTCATTTGTGTCTAACGAGGTTAAATGAGTTTCGTTTTTTTCTTACATACTTCTAACGTACTTCTTTCAAGTTTTCCAGCATGCAATCAGTGGAATGTGCTCTTAAAACTCATTTACGTGCAGCGTAAAAATACCCCTGAACTAATGAATGATGGGATCTGGTGTGAACTGATAGTATGTACCTTGCACCGGTACGGTTCTTGTGTCGATCTGCTGGGGATTGCACGTGGTCAATCGCACTCGAACTTCATGCTATTTTAGTTGGAAACGTTGCTGATTGTTCTTTTCATATCATGGGGAGTTCAGCCGTTTTCAAGTGTCAAAATACATAGAATACAGCGCATACACTGGGTGCATATCACTGTATAAAATTGTTCGATAACATGTAATATCAAATCTTTGCCCAATGTCCCGAAAGTATCTCATATTTCCCGAAAAATTTCCCAGGTTTCCCGATTCCCGGAATAAATTTGTTTTTCTCCCGAAACAGCCCTTGTTAGAGCTGTCACCCCCCGTAAAAACTGAAATATTTACAAAGAAAAGCGTTATCTTAGAGAAGTTGGCAAATGGTAAGTATGTTTTTGAAATTCAACCAACAGATTGTGGATCATTAATTATTTTCCAGTCTGTAGCGATGGTTGTTGAAAGCTTATGTGAAGGAGATGACTGTCAAGTCCATTTCTCTGGGGTAATTTCACTCCAAACTTCACTAAAGAAAGATCAATGTAAACATCTGAAATCAGTACATGTTTCTGCTGATTTTTATGGTGAATACCAAAGCAACCAAGAGGCAAAGCACAGCAAGTCTTTGGTATTTAACAACATTTCCCATTTCCGGTGTTTGGTAATGATGCATAAATTAAATGAAATTTTGAATTTACGTCACAGACATGATAGGCCACTCACGCGTCCAGCCGTCTCTTCTCTGGGAGGGCCAAGAGAGCGGCGGAAATCAAACCTACCCAGAACAAGGATATTGGTGCTGTTTCACAGACAAAAAAATTAAAATTACATCTGCAACTCAGGCTAGTGGGGTATTTGACTAATTAAACTGCTGACATACGGAGAAATTTCGCCGAAATTTTTCCAAAAAGTCAAATGCCCGGGGGTTTTTCCGGGGGGGCATGAGCGGTTTTGAATTGACTGATACATAAACAGTAGCTGAAGAATGCTTACTATATTATTATTATTATAGCCCTGTTTAGGCTTCGGTCACTGCAACAAGTCGTTAAAAGACTGGCCACGTTCTCTCAATGTAATGTTGGCTTTCTTTTTTTTTTACTTAATATGAAAATAAGCTACTAAACAACTTCATTGATTCATTGACTTAAGTTATATATTGGTCCAGTCGACATGTCGACTTTTGCTTACGTGCAAATATTAAAGGAATTAAATGCATGAGAAATGACAATAGTGACCGTACCAGCTCCACCTTTCAGGCGGTCTGATCGCTGAGATCGGTGATACCATAAAAGCACAAATCTTCTTCAATTTGAAGTCATGGTAAAATTCTAGAATCCGCGTCTTTTAAAATGGCAGAAATATTTGTAGTATACTTGCGCATGGATTGAACAATTTAATAACAGACAATACCAACTTACCCACGGAACTTTCCATGTCAAGTCAAACCCCCAAGAATATCAGCTAGCTAGAATGACCAGAAGAGAAATTTCCGAAAGGGCGACATTGTCGAATCCAAACATGGCGACTCTTGGAAGCTGGGCCTATAGGGACTGGGCGCTAGGTCTGGTTGATCGTCTGAGTTGTCTAGGGGCGCGATCCATTCAACCAAAATTTCCGGAAATTTCGGTCCAAAACTCAATGGATCGGTTCGGTCAAACCGGAAAAGTTTCGAAAAAACGGGTCCACCTTTTGAGGTGGACCAATTTTCCCGGTCGGACCGGTTGGAATTTTGGTTGAATGGATCGCGCCCTAGGTAACTTTTGGGCGATATTTTTGAAATATTTTGCGGGAAACGATTTTTGCGACTGGTCTCGTCTGTGTGTGTGTTTTCCTTTTTGCCCAGGGAGGGGGGGGGGGGGGGGCACTTGGGTATTTTTTGGGTGGGTGTGTGCTGCCCGGGACCAGGAGCCCATCAAATGGGCTCCTGCCGGGACTCCAAATTGGCACCCCGTTCTAAAAAAATTTCCCCTAAACTTGATACCCCGTTCTAGAAATGGGCCAATTTTTTATACTCCGTTCTAGAAAGTTTGTACATTGAAATAGCCCTGTTTTTTAAAAAGATATTTCTTTATTTGTTCGACTTATACATCAAATAAATGCTTCTTCATAATCAGCAACAATTTTAAGCAGAAGGTAAAGCCGTGATCCACAATTTTTTATACCCTGTTCTAGAAAACGCCTCTGCCGGAAATGGATACCCCGTTCTAAATCAGAAGCTTCAAAATCACGACCCCGTTGGGCGGCACATACCCGTATAGGTAATGTATGGGAGTAACTCCCTCCCCCCCGGACCTTTTTCCTTCTGTGTGGTCGGAGTAAAATTATTAAATCCAGCAAAAAGTACCACCCGTATTTTTCGATGAAAATTTTTTCTCGGCAGTCTAATCTGGAAGTCCTTCCTTTTTATTTACAGAGTGAGGAGAAATTGTATCCAAAAAAATTGTTCTGATTGAATTTTTTCATGACCATCTGAAAAACGTTAAAATGGTTTGTTTCACTCCTTGATGATTTATGCGATATTCAGACTAGGAGGGAGGGGCCATCTCAGTTCTCTACGTGTATTGTAGCCAGCCACATACATTTTTAAAAAATCGCACAATTTACAAGATATTTTTAAATTGATTGTTGCCGGTTTGTTAAAAAGTGGACTCGGAAACACTTGTACACCTTATTTTCTATAGCAGAAATATTTATTTTATTTTATTAGCTTCGCCGAAGAAACAAAAAAAAAACATACAACGTTGTTATTAAACTGTAAATTAAGAAGAGGGTTGGCAGGGACACTGCAACAGCTGAGGCCAATTACAGCAGGCCCTGTTAAAATAAAAGGAGCCGGTGTGAAATGTTAAGAATGACAAAATCTGAAGAAAAGAGACTATCTGAGAGCCTGGAACAGGCTTTATTGGCAGTAGTGGATCTAGCTAGTCCATCTGCACTTTTGAACATCAGGTAGGACAGAGGGGTCTACGTTGACCAAACAATGTGTTACTTTGAAAAAGAAGATAAGGTCCAATAGTTCGTGCCAATAGCAAATAGGTAAAAGATTTAAAGTTTGTAGACGAGAATATTTATAGTTGAAGAATAAGGCAGGTTTAAAATAAACCTAATGGGGCGTCTTTGAATGCGTTCAAGTTTAGCAGTGAGTTCAATGGACTGCGCGCGGTGCCCAGTTTTGCAAAAATTCTGTGATTCGCGAATAGTCAAACTGCTTAGAGCCAATCAGATTCCAAGGATTACGGATGTAATAAAGGATAAAAAACGCCCTTAAAACAGGTTCCGGAGAAAAAAAGACATGAATCTTGAATGAATCAGTATATGCAATAATTACCCAGCAACCAGTCTCTTGGCTTGTTTGGCATATTCCTCTTGGACATCTCAGGGATATCTTAACATAGAAAGGAAATTAGGGCCCCGCCTTAAGACCGCCCCGTTTATACGACCACCTATTCATTACGACCCATATTCCTTCGACCAGAACGTAAAAGTCTATGAGTCATTTTATTAGTTTGAAGTCCCCTTAATGCTTCTACCTCGTTATTACGACCAGGATTTTATGGGCCAACGGTTGTCGCATTACCCGGGTTCCACTGTACGCCTCATCCGGCATCGTAAGATTTACTGTCTGATTTGATAGAGCGATTTTCGTATGACCTTGAAATAAAAACGCGCGAACAATACAGAAACAACAAACGAACAGAAATAGAGCGATTTGATTGGTTTATCGAACACATACAAACGCGGGTGGCTTTTGGTTGGTTAAGCGAACACTCGGGTGAAAAAACTTCATGCCCGAGAACTTTCTAGAAACCAACCCATACTTCGCTTTGACGTCATACTGTAACACGATTGGCCAATCGAACAATGCCTACTCCATATTAGGGTTTTCTTTGGCGGGAAAACTAAGGGGCCATGTTTTGATCTTTTCATCCATTGGCTGATAAAACAAATAACGAACACTTACGGAAACCATTTTTCAAGGTCATACGAAAATCGCTCTATAACACAAACACCCTACTCTCCGAAAAATAGAGGTGCACCATAACCTGCCGTTAAAATCTTTAACATCGACGAAGCAGGCAGTCATTAAATTGATATTATTTTTGATAAAAAATTTAACTATAATTTAGGACGAAATACATCCAGATAATAGCACGACCTTAGAAAAAGGCCAAACGCCATGAGGCGTACCAAATTGCAATTTTGCCTGTATTTACTGTAAGTTCAACTGCTGGATCAAAGTCGAACGTTGAAAAGAACAAAAAATTACCAGGCGCAAAAGAGTTTACAGTCGCACGGACAGTTTTCGTTGTCCCGACGAACAGCTTAACATCTTTTCAACTGAATAATCCTCAGCATTTTTTTACACCATCTATGGCCTTCTGAAGTGGACGGATCTGAACGTGTTTGTCGATTGAAAACTCAGTCAGAGGAACGTAGTCTGAGAAAACTTAACTCACTTCGAATGGTTCGTCGCACGAAAAGTTCGACGTTTGGCCTTGGCCTTACTCTAGGATATAGCATTGTTTTACAATACTTCAGGTTAAAAAATTTTAAAAGTTAAATATAATACAGCCCATATCACAAAATACTCTATAATTACAGGAGGCTTTTTACTGTAAAAGTAAATATAATTGCTTTTGACATACAAGGGCAATTGTTGCCTTAGTCATCAGCCTATCATATTTCGACGCAATCATTGACAATTTACCTCAAAGAGGGCAAAGATTGCTCACCAAGAGGGCCTTAATCCATCTAGGGTTGCCATACTGTAAGGAAATGTATTTTCTCGCGTTAAGGAATGCACGTTGCTTCAGTGCTTAGCATACGGATGTGTTGGTATTTGTCGCGTGAGTTATTTTTGACAGTGTGCGTGATTATTTGTTATCAGGTATATAAGGTGTTCTTTGCAGATTCAAGGTCACTTGACGGCATCTCTCGCTACCGTTCTGTAAATTTTCATGTATTTGTTATCTTTTTTGTTATTATATTTAATCTTTCAGAAAGGTTATTACCAGATTGTACATTATTGACATTATTGTTAGCTTACGTCTTCGTTAGCTGTAGTTTGTAGTATGTTTATTCATGTATTTTGCCCGTGTTCTAGCTATCAATAAACGAGATGCCTATTCCTGATTCTTGTCTGCGTTTCATGGTTTCTAGAGTGAAAATGATTTGTTCTCGTTTCACTGCAGAGTGATTAGAGAACAAACCTATATATGTTACCATACACAACTAAAATAACACTGCCATACCTTTTCAATTCAAAGTAGACAGACTGCAAATTATAGTAGTTGCTAAAAAATATATCTATGTGTTCCAACTGTTCATCAGTAAGATGCCTAAAATGCGTGCAATTCCACAGTTGGTTTCGGCTCCATTAAATCCTATATCAATTGCAGAACATTTTAGGAGGAGCCACCCACCGTGTGAGCACAGTCGCGCACAACACATGTAAGTGAGGAAAATAACGCAAAGCAAAACTAAGACGTTATTAAACGAACTAAATGTACACGCAACTTAAATAAATAAACAAACAATGCACGCGCCCAAAATTAAATTGAGCGCTCGCACACGTACCAATATACAACTGAAATAAAAATCCAAGTAATAAATGAGCAATGTAAGGATACGATGGTGCAATTTAAGCCTGGATTGCTAATACCTTTGGCAGCCGAAAGGGTTAAAAACCATCATCAAGCGGTAAACCCTGCGCTCTTGTGAAGCGTTTGTCCATTATTTATAAAAAAAACTGGTTTAGAGTCCTGAAACAAAATCTTGAAGTTTTGATTCACGAACGCTTTAAGCCTGCGAGCAAGCTCTCCGTTTGGGGAAGTCGCGAGAGGTCACGCGAGAGCCGCACGCGATAGGAGACGCGATTGCGAGGAGTGGGACGCGTTCTCTCGCGGGTAGCTTTGCTCGCCACACTTGGAGAGGTTTGTTCGCAAGCTAGAATGCTTTTGAATTAACATACATTTGTATGTTTCATGTACACTGGCTCTCTGTTTTCCAAAACTCTGAGCAAATATGTAACGCCCCGTCCACACGTATCCGGATATTTTTCAATCCGCAACTTTTTCTTTCCGGGTACGGCTTCCGTCCACACGCATCCGGCGAATTCGGCAGCGAATTCGGATATTTTCGAATCCGCTCTCCAGGGCCCAGTTGTTCGAAGGCCGATTAGCGCTTAACCCAGGGTTAAGTTTAACCTGGCTTCCTCTTCTTTTGTTCAAAAGCCTTTTCTTAGATAATTATCCCGTTTCTTTTTAAGAGCATGCGATCATCAACTTGTTGACAAAAAGAACTAAACTAAATTTACTTTAGAAGCTTTCACATCTGAATTCAAATTTTGCACTAACCCTGGGTTATCTTAACCCAGCTTTGAACAACCCGGCCCAGAGTGGAAAAAAAAAATCCGCAACGAATTAGCCTGAGTATCAGGCCTTCCTAAGGGGCTAGGGGAGAGGAGATTTTAGATGGAGGAGGGGCTCTCTCCCTTTTTCGCTTCCATCTTTCCCCTTTTCCTCAGAAACGCCTGATGCTCGATCAGGCTAGCAAATCCTTCGACCGATTAACCTGAGATCAGGCTCTATTTTCGTTTCGCTTTGAAAATTACATTCCGGCGGGCAAGGCGAAACGTTAGAGAGAATGTATGAGAACCGCTCAAATTGGGCCTGATCTAAGGCCTGACCTCAGGCTATCGACCGATGACGTAGCAAAATCGTGTCCAGTCTCTTACCGAAAAATAAACCAATATGGCGGCACAACGTGTAGCCCTAATTTCTCTTCTTCCTGGACTCATTTCAAGTCTTGTATGCAGGTAAATTTAGCCATGTTAACTGTACACGTAAACTATGTGAAACAGCGGGTCGACATTGTCAAGCTTCTATCGGTGTCTGATTGACGAATCGGACGCCAAAGACAGTTGAAACGACTGGGAACACCCGGGTGGGAACACAACCCCGTCCCCGACGAATGGTGATCGAGTGTGCCTTTATGAAGCTGAAGCAAAGAAAGTTAGAAGAATTCTCACCAACTAGCCCTGGGCACTAGAGTGAATCCGGATACCATCGTATGCGTGTGGACGGAGAAATTTTTGAATCCGGAAAGAAAAAGTTGCGGATTCAAAAATATCTGGATACATGTGGACGGGGCCTAAGATTACTGATTTGAAATTCGCATTTAGCATCATGGTAACCTATTAACATTTTTAAAAATTATTACCATACCTCCACTGTTCACTATAACTGACATTATCGTACTCAAAACATTTAGTTATAAATATTATCGGGCATTTGATAACATACCAAAAATCATTCTTTCACATTTTAGAAATTAGTCGTGGATATTCTCAATTTTATACCTTGAAAACCATCAAGTTCTTGTTTCCTTTACATGTAAAATCTTCCATGACATGGGGAGTTCCACACTGAGTAAAAAATGACCAGACAGTACTTACACTTATAGTACAGTCATGTAGCATTATGTTTTCCAATGCTTCATCACTCAATTTTGGTTACAGGTATTTTGAATCTCCCTTTTCAACCCAGTCCTCCAGAATCTCTACGACGTCCATCCTCTGCATGTCTTCGTTCTTTAACATTTCAATAAGTTTCTCCACAGTTGGTTCTCGAGTTTTTTGCCACCAACGCGTAAGAATTTTATGGGTCGGATTTGAGTTTCGCGGCTGTGCACAAAATTCAATAAAGTCTCTTTCAATTTCCATTAGCTCCCCAAGCATTCGAAAATCGTTGAAGTGAAGGTCACTTATTGTATTCAGTTTCAAGCAGATCCTACCAAGAAGAGCATAAGGAATGTTTTTGACATTGGTTGACAATCTCGACCTCTTCGTTTGCAGACTAACACCTCCATCGACTGCATCATGTGCAAAGTTCGTTTGGCCCAAAGAATCAGATTTCTGATCTGTAACACCAGTCTCTTCTACACTTGTCTTTGTAACGCCAATGCCCTCCTCGTGATGTGGCATGTGCAGTTTGTCCCCCTCAGATTCAACACATTCCTCATTCTCTTGCCCCATTCTGCTGTCTGGATTCTTATCTCCCTCATCTACAGGGTCATGTTCTTGCTCCCCCAAATTCTTGATTTCTAATTGTTGCATTCCACTCTCAGTGTACTTCACTGCTTGTGTAATCTTCTCTGTATGCTCAACTCCCACTTTTTGGCTCTCTTTGTTAAAAAAAAGGAATGAACTGATCATTTTTATACTATTCATCAATAATCAAACATATAAAAGGTGGGTGGAGGTATTTATTAAAACACCTGCTACATAAAAGGGGAGTGTTAAGTTTGTGTTAATTCCCTTCTTGCCTCCAATTTCTGTTTCCCTAGATCATTTACTTACTAGCAAATAGTGAAACCTGCATTAATTGACCCATATAAAGTGCAAAATTTCTTCCCCAACATCCACATACAAATTCCTCAGACTAATCTCTATACATTTCCTTAAGAATTATTAATAGTATCAATAATTGACAATAGATCCAGGATTTTTCCTTCAGTGATCACTTTTTTAATTCCTATAAAGTTTTCTTGTGTCATGACTTGGAATTTTGTCAAGAGAAAATTACTACTGGTCAGCAATTTTCAAATCATGTTTGTAGACATTAGAGTTACAGTAAGTGTGGGAATGACACAGGAATAATAATAATTATTCTAAAATTTAAAGCCAAATCAGGGAATTTGCAGTCATGTGTTGTCTAGTGGACAACAAGAAGGATGGTGTATCAGAAGAAAGTGCGATGCAGTCTGAATCCCTCTTTTTGTGTGTGAAGGATGAGAAAAGGAGAAAAAAAATTAATGGAAAAAAGGCATAACAAAATTTTCGATCAGTTAAAATGTAATGTTACCTGATGCAAATTTTTAACTACAACATAATTATGTATGAAAAACAATACAGGTTTTAAACAGACTCTGCAAATATGTAGAGACAGAGATGACTGGGGTGGATCCAAACAATAAAAAAATATTATTGTAGTCAACCTTTATACAAAAGTTAGCAAAGAAAAAAGTTTTCCCTATGGGAAAGTTCATTTAATATNGGTCTTCCGAATCCAATACATGCATTTTTCCTGATGGCAACTTTTTAAGTGCCATACCAAATCCACTGTTTCCACTGCTGAGGACAGGGACACCTGCAGAAATGGCACGGACACAACTTGTTCCAAAACCCTCTGCTGAAGGCAAGATGACAAGATCAACTTGGCAAAGCTCCTTTCTCCAATTTTCAGTGCTCCTTGGGACATGTTTGACAGTGAATTGACTTAAACTGATTAACCCCTTAAGTTGACTTCTCAGAACTTCAGCATTGTCATTGGGTAAAACAACAAATATAAGATTGTATGATAAGTCTTTCAATAATGTGATTGCTGTGGCTGCAATGTCACAGCCTTTAACTCTGAAATACTTTGATGGATATGTTGCACTGATCATGACATGGAACTTTTCTCCACCCTCACAAACTGTGTGAACACTAGCTAGATCATGGATGATTCCAGGTGTCATAGTAATCACATCTTTGTGCTTTCCACAGTGACGAAGAGCGCCTTTGTAAGCATCAGCTACTTTAGGACCAATGGCAATGATTATGTCAGCTTCTTCACAAAGAGCTAACTGCAATTCATGATCTGACAACCAATCTGGATTGGCTGCATCTGTGCTGGATACTTTCTGCATGTAATTCGCCAGTTCTGCACTGATGGTATGAACAACATGAACCCACTTGCAATTCTTTTTTTCCTTTATATCTTGGGCTTGTTTTCCAAGGTTATGCCCATAAGAGTGCATGATGAGAATATCAATATCGAGATCGTCAGGAGGGTATGCAATAAGCTCCTCTTCAGAATAACCAATCCTCTTTTTTGCATTAACCAGTTCAATATTTGACTTCTTAGCCTGGTCTCTCTGTTCTTGAGTGCTCCTTGGTACAAGTCTATACACCTTCACTCTTGGGTTGTTGGCCAGTTCAATTACTAACTGATCATTTAGCATGATCTTCCAGCCCTCAGTATTTGTGGCGAGCAGTAACTTAAGTATGCCTTCCTTCTTTGAAGGGATATAACTTGAATCTGAGAATTTGGAAATAGATTAGAATACTCAACACTAACATTGATGGAATCAATATTATATAACTGTTTATGTCACAGTCAAATCGAAGCTTTAACAGACCTGGGCATACCCCAGGCATTTGACACCTTTTTCTTCTTGAGGGTAGGGAATTTTATAATAAAATTATCATTGTCTTGGTGCTTGTGCAACAGGGCATGAAAAATCATCAACAGGGAAACTGAGATAATGCTTCGGGTCCCCAGGGGGCACACTCCCTTATTTGGCCTAGATGGATGTGTGCCGCTGAACAGGGTATGGTTTTCAGGGTTCTGAGTCTTACACATGTAAATAGGGTATTCAATTTCGCCATTTTTTGGCATCTTTAGGGACCGGCCATTATCTATTTAGAGTGGGGGGGGGAGGAAAAAATATGTTGGAAAGATCAAAATTTCTGTAAGGCCCCCCCCTGCAGACCGTGTAAAAAGCAAGTGACCCCCCTTCTTTATTCAAT